CACTGGAAGAAGCTTGATCCTCGCGACTTCCCGGTTGCAGTGGGTTTGGAGTATCCTGACACTGGTGTATCGTCGCGTCTTCCCAGTATATGGCATCGAGTCTCTGCCCTTTGCTAGTTGGGAATTGCGTCTCCTTCGAGACTTGGCGCCCCGAGACATAGAACCGGTATTGCGTTGTCGGCCCTCTATCAGCTGGTTCCCGAGCGACGCGAAGTACCTGTTCAAAGGCCATAGGGTTAGAACCCCGGAAGGCATTCAGTGTCCATTGCCGCCTGGCCGGTGTGCTCCACTTGATCAGGACCGGTACACCGCCCAAGGCTGGCCAAAGATCAATAATAACATGGATTTCACCCCGCAAGATCGATTCTTCTACTTCCGGCCACACAAGCAGGACTTCGAAATTGTCTCGCAGGGTGAGTTTATCTCGCCATAGCCGTTGCACTTGCTGAAGAACATATTCATTACTTCTTCTCTCTGTCTCTCCAAGATCGAGCCTCCGTTGGCCTTCAGAAGCCGCTCGCAATCCATGCATGATCACTGAGACATAGTGGCCAGGATTTTCTTGCCTAAAAAGGTCATACCGCCGCCAGAACGCAGTATCTAGCTGCCCGGGCACATTGTAGCCTGAGCTACCAGTAGTATGATATTCATTGCGATGTCTCGCATCCCTCGGGGCTCTCCATCTAGTTGTTTGCATGAGGCTGGTGCCATCCATCTGTACAACCGGATCCTCAGGATGTGTACATTGTTCTCGTTCTCTCGCGGCATAGATGATAAGGTAGTCACCATCAACGGCCTCGACTCTTTGGGGATCAACATAGGCCTTGCTCGGTCTGTCCATTGCTCTTGCAGCATACCTTGCTGTGCAGTCAATACTGCGGTCAAACCTGCAGGCAATCGACCCTGGAGTGTCGTGTCGGTATAGCTGAATACTGCCCCGGGCAAACGGCACAAAGTGGAGCTCAACATAAACAACCGGCATTCCAGTCCTGTATTCGTCTTGTCTGCAGAACAGTATAATGGGCTGAAAGATCCCTTGGATTCCATTGGCCGGAGTTGGATAAACAAAAATTGTCTTCCAATCAATCCCTGGATCACCTCTCCAGAGGTGTAGTACTTGCTCCAGAGCGTTGCCTGGCCCCGCTAATCTAACCATAAGTGCATTCCTCACCGGCGTCCCAATCCAATGATGCAAGTACGTGCGAACCTTGGTTCTCTCAATTGGTTGTCTGTAGAACCGTTGGTAAGCAGCTGATAGGCCATCTCCGGATTGGAGGTTAACAACTGCAAGATTCACGGTATTGTCATGATAGTAGGTTGGCGGAAGCTGCATTAAGCTTGATCTATCATCTTGGACCATTGGAGTTGCAGTGTTATCTCCGGGCGTGGCATTGTATATGGGAGGCCGCCCATACTCCTCATCGGTCTCTTCATCGCTCTCAGTATTGGTCGTATCACCGGAGCATGTCGAAGAGGAGGACTCCCCTTCGTCCTCCAGCCAAGTCTCTCGGAAGACAACAAAAGCTCCTTCGTACAGCGGAATCCTTTCATACCATGTATATTCAACTGGCCCTATCTGGATAGTGCACCTGCTTGCCCAAATGCATTGGTTGTCTGGAATGGCTTTCTGAAACAACACTGACATAGCATCAAAAGGCCTACTTTGGAACAAATATGTTCCGGTCCATTGCCGAGTCGGAAGGTGTACTTGTCCTAACACAACCAACCATGTTTCCGGGATCACAGGAACTATCAAAAAGGTCGGCAGTGGGTGGATTCCCTGCACTGGGACAGGTAATACCGCTATAATCTTAGCAGTAGGTCGAACTTGAAAGTCCTTCCATTTACTCAAAATCTGTCCCCTGAACGGCTCTTCTGTAGAGAAATCGTTTATTCGACTACTGAAAGCCCATTCTTCTCTTCTATCCCAAGTGTGCACCCAAGTCATGACTCTCACAGTTTGGATCCCAGTGGCACGAAGCACATATTGCAGGAGCGGATCTTGCCTTGGCGTCAAGGCATAGTGCCTCATCATGAGATCAGTATGCTCAGAGTCTTCCTCAGGTGCGATGTCACCACTATCCTGGCCTACCAGATTTGTACCGCCAGACCAAGCAAAATGTGGATCATTGCATAGTCCTAGGGACCAATTAGCTCGACAGGAAGTGAATCCCGGAGCATCGACACATGCTTCTGAATCCGTCAACAAGCAGGCTAATTGGCAAATGTCGTCCTTAGCCCTACAAAACTGCGGCAAAATAGAAGCTATCGATCTGCCTTCTGTGTAGTGCGATGTACTACATATGTCACTATTGCCCCCACAAGGCACGGAGGGACAGTAGGTTCCTATGCCAGAACCGCTCTGGTAGGCAGCTCTGGGACTTGCTGCAATTGCCGAGGATGTGGCAGTGAGCCTCTCTCGGCATTCGACCCCATGGGCACCAACAACGTTGATGATCATAAGGATACCTAAAACTCTCTTGTTGTGAAAGAAGCATCCATTGCGTCGCAAAACTGGACGTCTCTCTTTCCCTGCCTTTCTACCTGGCGCAGGGCGTCTTTCCATCGTCGGCATACGGTGCTGCACGAAAATGCATAGCATGCTTCCAACCAGATTTGTCCACGAGATCATTTCGAGTATCATGACAAATCCTATTCCCCAAGGAGGGGCGTTGTGCCGTGGGATTGCTCCTAGCCAGAAAGATGTCAGGATGCACATGCAACCGGTCCAAACAGTTACACTTGCAATTTCTTCATGCTTACTGGCTCGGAAAATCACATCCCATTTCATCTGTGCCTTCTGACAAAATTTCCAATTTACTTGGATCCACATTACCATCACGCCCGACCAAAGCAAGAAATAAGACTGCACAGTGACGAACCACTCCCAATTGGAAAATGCTGAGTATCCTGACCCACCCAGGACATAAGCGTAGTTAGCGGATTCATCGTTGGCAAGTCCTAGTCTATGCTTTGCATCCGGCTCATATACTCCATAGCAGACATTGCTACTATTCCTATCAACCCCTGCCTTCACAATGCCAGGTTGGACTCTCTCGACAAACGGAGAAAGATCGCTGGCATTGTACCCATACTGTTCCTTGGACTCGTCATGCACACCGATCCTGCTGCCTTGAAACTTGGCGCACCGATCAGGCATCATTCCATGGACATTCTGTCTCAATCCAAGCCACCACCCTCCCCAAGTGGCAGCAAACTCGCCTTCTCCTCCTTCGGCGGCGTCATGGTCATAAACAGATTCCCTCCATCGATCGGCAATCTTGTTGTGTATGGCTCTCCATGATGCATCTTCCGCCTGGCCGCCTTCCCAAATGGAACTAGGGCCGGTGCCATTGGTTCCGGCTCTGTCATGCTCTTGGACATTACCGTCATCACGTCTGCGATCAGCTGACGCATAGCCGTCGCAGAACGGTACTTTACCGGCTGCTCGTTCTTGATGTTCAGGATCCGGGCTTGTACCACCTCTGGCAGCTTCAAGAGCTCCCCCTTCAGCTCTGCAGCATCCATTTCCTCTTCGTCCGGGATGATCTTCTCTTGGTCTTCTTCCTTTCCAGCCGATCTGGTAGGGGATCTTGGCCTCTTGTTGCTGGCATCGTCGAAAGCATCCGTCTTTGGCACTTTCAACAGCTGTTGTGGTGACGAGAAAGCTTTGCCCTCTATCAGGCTTTGTCCCGTCAGCGCACCGATGAGCTGTTGGACCTGCTCTGTCAGTCCCTGATTTCTCTGCTCCATGGCTTGAGTATATGCCACCATCTGTGACATCTGGAACTTGATGTCGCTGAGCTCCATGCCGAGTTCGTCGATGCGGGTGTCCTTGCCGTCGGGGTCGGAGATGTCGCCCCGATCTACATCCATAGACGGCCCTTCTTCTGCCTCTTTGAGTTCCGTGGCAAATTCCGCCATGACCGAGGCATGTCTCTTCTCCTCCAACAGGAGGCCCTCTTGCATTCCTTCTTTCCACCTGGAAAAGCGACTTTCGTTCTTTTCCATCTCTTGCTTGATCTTCTCGGCACGGTTCAGCTGTTTCCTCTCCACATTGAGGAGTCGCTGCTTTTCTTTGATAGCCTCTCTCGGGTCGATCTTGACAAGCTCTCTCACTTGTGGTGGGATCTCTTGCTTCTCATCCATCGAAGCCCGCATAGCTTCCTTCAACTTTCTGTTCTCTTCCCGCAGCGATTGTTCCACCTGTGATTGCGAGGATGATGCACCAGAGGATGGTCCACTTTGCTTGCCGAGCTCTATTCTCTTCCCGTCCCATCCGGTGATGGTGAACTTCTCTGGATCTGCATCTTGCTTCTTCTTCTGCTGTTTCTCCTGACTTGGCCATTGCCAATAGCTGTCCTGCCAGGCATTTTTCCTTGTAGCCAGGTTCTGTTCTCTCTTCCATGACATCTCGGGCTCCTCAGTCGCCTTCTTTTCCGACAAGCAGCTATCAAAGGATCTAAGGGCCCGAGCCTTCAGGGAATATCTCGGCCTAGAGTGGTGTCGCTCAAGGCGATGTAGTGCCCCCAGGACCTTGTGGAGCTTCCGGGTAGGAATCCAGGCCTTGGCCCTGTTCTTGCGCACCAGCACTCTGGCCTTAGACCTCTGTGCCCTCAACCGACGGTGCCACGCCGGACTAGCAGGGCGTCGCCGTACCACAATGGCTGACGGCGAGAGTCGAAGCGACCTGTATTAGGTCTGGGGCTGAAGTGGATCCGATCGGGGATCGGCGATCTTGAGCCCTGCCTGTTCAGGGAAAAAATGCTGTTGAGGCGTCTTTTCCCGAAGTCGATGTTTTAGATATTTCTTGTGACAAGGTGGAAACCACAAAAAATGTGGTATAAAGGTGATAAATCAAAAAGGAACGGCCTTTTGGGCATCCAACGGCGTCTTTGAGCGTCCACTCACTCGGCCTCCTTCCCCATCCCTACAAAACAGATTATGAGTTTTTTAGGCCCCTTTTGGCAGTTCAAACCCTTCGTTACTCGGTGCAGGGCTGCTGTACCAAGGATGCGAAGCGGCCAGCGACATCCGAGACCTGCGAGACGCCGCGCGGTGGCGGTGACGGCCGCGCGGGCCGAAAAGGGATTTCGGAGACGAAAAGGATGGATGGACCCAAAAATCTCTGTCGATGTGTTGATTGAAGGTCTGTAGATCTGCTTCCAACTTATATGCTTATCTGGGAGTTGATGAAGAAGATGTGCTTGCAACCCATCCGACTCCTGTGAAACGCAAATGTGTATTGAAAAGCAATGTGTGATGGGATGGTTGCAGCAGATGATGGGACTCCTGTCAAACAGGTTCCAAAAAGGGTATGTCGATCATAGTCCGGTTCGAGATTCATCTGCAAGATTCGGCCCCAAGATCCCTGCTGCAGACCTCTCCGAAGCCATGTCTCAATTGCATCATAAGAAAGAGTGTGTCTTTCGGGGATTCAGTTACAACTTCCACTCGTAAGATGACCGGTAAAGAACCTGAGAACCACTGATGTGCGAAGAGACAAGCTCTCCAAGGGTCCATTTTCAGGTTTCCAAGTGCATCTACTTGGAGTGTATTCAATGGGCCCTTGCATGTCCTTGACAAATACAGTAAGTGATTTGTCCTTGCTTATTCAAGCAAAGCTGTCTATTTAGATCGAACACAAGCTAGTCTAGTAGGTCAAGTAGGCTGCATGCGCAGCCAAGTGACACCCCGAGACCAAAGCGGTCGAGGTGTAAATGCCCTGACCCAAAACCCCGTATGGCCAGGAGCCCCGTTCGTAGCGTCCTTGCTCCTATAGTAGTATGGCCAGGAGCCCTTAGTCTCAAATTGTTTTTTCTCGGGACCTCCGTTACCTATAGGTCGTTGGCCGCCAAAGCTGCGTCATGCAATGGAAAAGTGGCATGCTACATGTGGTTACCCTCAGGCGTCAGGTAGACATCAACCTCCCCACTCAGAACTCAGGCCCACACCACGTTGGCAGAAGAAGCCTTGTGCTCGGGTGGGCAGCTAGACATTGCGCAGGGCATCATTACGGGTGTGGAAATCGGGAAAAGTCCGGTTTTGCAGGATATGTCGCTTTCAAACTGGGGCTTCTAGGAACTATCAACGGCCCAGTTGCGCATGCCGTGATTCACGGTGCGCTAAGGAGCGAAATCCCTGAAACCTCTGACATGAGAGTGCTCCAAAATACCCTTTGCAACTGCCTTAGAACGATATTATATACCCATCTAAAGTGACACCAAGAACCCCACCACCCTGAGCAAGAACTGCCAGCCCTCCCACATCGGATGCGTCGTTGCGTTCGAACCACTTCCCCTGGTTCGGTCTTTCTGGTTCCGGCCATGCCCCCGGAGTGGTCGAAAGGAAGACGGCTGACGATCTCCTTTGCAAAAGGAAGCACAGGCCATACTACGTGGCTTGGTTTGTCAGTTATGGTCAGAAATCGGCCACAACCCAATGAACAAACCGACTGAGCCATCCAGCAGAGCTCGTTCTGTGCAAGACGTGGACAATGTCTAAGCCTGTCAAAAGTGACGAGAACGACCCCGGCCCTGCTCCTCCTGCTGCTGCTGCTGCTGCTGGCTGCTGGCTGCTGGCTGCTGGCTGCTGGCTGCTGGCTGCTGGCTGCTGGCTGCTGGCTGCTGGCTGCTGGCTGCTGGCTGCCGGCTGCCGGCTGCCGGCTGCCGGCTGCCGGC